AAAATTACTAAGTAGAACTTGTCTGGTACCAGTGCGTAGCACTTGGTAAGATTTCGCTTTGATTATATTTAGCGCAATAAATGTGTTGTGTTTGTGTGTATATCTTGTTGTTGCCTAGTTTTGAAAGTTCTTTGTGGCATTTTAATTTATGTTTTAATAGAATTTAGCGACGCCGCATAATGGGGCTCAAACTGTTAATTCCGTTGTATAACCAAACTATTTTTTATTAAATATTGACATTCCTGCCAACTTTTATTCTTGTGTAATTTCTAGAAATATAAGTACATTTTATTTTCTGTTTCAAAATTTATAAGTGTGTGGCTTAATGACTAACAGTATAAGTTCCAATCATTCTTTACCGCTCGCGTCTTTAGTCTTTACGAGTAAAGAGACGGTAAAATTTCAGTGTTTTTTACAAGCTAGTTCCCTCTTCTTTACTAATACATAGGGCGCACTTTAAGTTTCCGGAACTGGCCACTTACATAAACAGTATTTAAAAAGTAAGTATAACATTTGAAAATGGAACTCTTTGGCTGTAGAATACAGTTTGTTTTATCTGACTGTCACTTGTTTTTAAATTGTGGCGTCATTTTAGAAATTGATTGTCTACATCACCAAGGATTTAACTCGTGAAAATTTTCGTTGTATGAGTTAATATAACAGCTCAGCGGAGCTTCGCTCGGCTTCAAACTGCTTTTGGCGATGAAGCACCATGCAACACGACTATTTGTAGCTGGTTTGCAGAATTCAAACGTCGTGCGAATCTCAGTGACGAATTTCGTGATGGTCGCCCGTCCACTGCTGTAAACAACAAAAACATCGATGCTGTGCCCCGTATGATCAAAATAGACAGGCATGTGACATACCATGGATTGGAGCATCTTTAGGCATAGGCATGAGTCAAATACAATCAAGAAGTTATTGACAAACTCCGTAAAAATAACCGTAAACGCCGTATCGTGGGCCAGTTCTCACACGGCCAGACAGACAAATGAATTTTTGAAGGTGAACAACGTTGGCCTTATGAGTCAACACGGAGAATATTTTGAGAAATAATAAATTAATTTCTGACCATTTATAGTATTTTTTTCTTATTCATTCCGGTATCTTATAGTGCGCCCTACGTACTTTCTATTGGCGGTGACCTTTTAGGATTTTGCCAGTATCGGGTTGAAAAGTTTAGTAATTTTATAGGTTTCTGTGGGTTCTGCTATTCTACGAGCAGTGTGGGAGAATTATGTGAGAGAGTACAAGCTTATGTATAAAATTTCGAATGTTCATGTCTCAGAACTGTTGGCTTTTCTTGAAAAGAACACAATATATAGTATAGATAATAGTTGGTATCCTAAATAAGATACCCGCAAATAATAATTTTTGTTGGACCATTTTTATTACACCCCTTATTGACACCGGGTGCAAGTAACCCATTACGTTCGTAATGCAATGTTCATAATTTCGCATCATATTTATGCCTTCCAAGAATCGCTATAGGACTCATGGGAGCGAATATTTGCCCGTTCTCACACATTAGACGTCAATTATTGGCTTTTGCACGTACTTGTAGCATTCGTAACTACTCATTGCAATAATGTTGAATTTCCTCTATTGAGTGGAATAATAAACTATACTGCAGTCTCTTAAATGTGATAGTTGGGAGGGCACTTGCACGCACTAGTTTCTGGAAACCAACTGGAGACGAAATCAGAAACGTAAGCATCGTTTGATTTAGCAGCACGAGAGTTCCTTGTGAAAGAGATCGTAGTAGTGCCGTCGAAGTACTGCCACCTTACTATTTTTGCCGCCAAGCAGTAATATGAGTATTACTGCGTTCCAGTTTTGAAAGGTGCTGGTGAAATTTCAGGCACATGGGATTTGTCAATTTATGTCTCAGGACGACAGACGCAGTGACAGTGCCCCTCAGTCCATTGCGATTTAAAGCTCTAAGTGGCACTGCAACTGTTATTGTGATAAGCCTGCCGCTTACCCCCAGCCGCACGACTTGCTCGTTTCGCCACTTTGTATCATAAAACGAAGAAAAAGAAATACATTTGTTTTAATACTTAAAAGAATACCGATCATTTTAATGTGATCGCAGTGTAGATAAATAACTGTTCACAAAAGTGTTTGTAAGTTAAAAAAAGTTGTAATGTTTCCTTAGAAAGATGAAGGATGTAGTATATACCAAGTTGTTAGTATAATAAAGTATTTCCTTTGCCTTTTAAATACTTAAGGATCGGACTTCACTTATCAACACGCTTCAGTAAACATGCTTTAACCGACTTCAAAAAAAAGGAATCTAGCAATTACTCCGACATTTGTGAGCCGATTTCGATGATTCTTTTTTTGGAAAGGGGATGCCTCAACCTCAGTAGTGGGCCCATTAGAATATGAAGAAAACTATTCCACCAATTGAATGAATCCGGTTTATTTATTAATGGATTTCATCCAGTCTCCGTTAACCGATTTCAATAACACTTGGGAAATGATTGATGAATGATTGAGAGAATGGATGTAATTCCAAACTTTTCAGACGATTTTTTATATAAAAGTCGTACACATATATGTATGTAAACTCTCCTATAAAACCCATGTTGAGGGACACCTCAACTGGGGACAGTCAGTCCCCTTGAGGCTGAAATGTCCCACATAAAACATAGTTTAGTATAGACGCAGTGTTGATTAGTGCCTAATGAGGTTCAATCCTAAAAATTTTAATATATCGATATTACGTGAAGAAAAATGCAAAAACACACACACACACACACATACACACTTCACAAAGACAGCATAAAAGGCGATTATATACTCGGAAGATGCCAGGAGATATCAAATAGATTATATACTGAAAAAGAGAATGTCGTCACCAAATTCACATGTGCAAGGCTTTTCCTGGAGCAGACATAAATACAGATCATAATTTACTGTTGAATTCACACAATTTCACAACTACCAGAGCCAGGAAGAAATCGATCCAAAGAAAATAGATCTCAGTAAACTTAAAGATTTAAATAGCAAATTTAGAGTGCAATATAGTAATAATATAGGTGATAAATTTGTAGATTTTAAGAATAATTCAACACAGGACATAAGTAATAAAAATATAGATGGTTACCGTTAGAAATATTTTAAAAGAGACAGCTGAAGAAACTTTACAAAAAGGGAAAATTGTGCCAAGAAAGAAATGGCTAAATGGAGAAATAATCAACCTTATGATATAGAGGAGGCAGAACAGAAACAAAACAGATGACAATAGTATAAAAAAATATAAAAGCTAACTAATCGGATTACACTAACCTGTAGGGAACAGAGAGAGAAAGATTTAATTATAACCTGTGACAAGATAGAACATTTAACGACAAAGAGAAAAGTAGACAAAGCATATTTATAAGAGACCTTAATAAAACACATGAAAGTAAAAGCACGGCAATACTAGATGAACAGGATCACATATTAATAAGCAATTCGGATACAGTGGATAGATGGATAAGATATATTGAGAATGAGGAAGAGGTAGCTGAATATGAGACGGGCCCAGACATTCTTAGAGAAGAATTTGATAAGGCACTAAACAGTATACAGAATGGCAAAGCTGCTGGTAAACACAATATATTTATAGATATGATTAAATTTGCTATTTGTGACCCGATAATTTAAGAGATTTTTCTACTTACCAAGCCAATGTATTCAACGATTTTAAAATAAGTAAAATTGTTGCTTTACCCAAGAAACCTAACACCCTACTTTGCGAGGAACACTTACTTTAATTTCACAAGCGAGTAAGATTTTATTAAAAATAATTCAAAACCGCATCAGGCCCATATTAGAAAATTACTTAGGTATAAGTTGGGTAGAAAAGAAAACCAATGAGGAAGTATTGAGAATAGTAAACGAGAAAAGAACGAACCTGAATACGACAGAGTATAGACGCGGGAAAATGACTGGACATTTGACAAGACACGACAGCATCTTTAAGATCATTTTGGAGGGAAAGATCGAAGGGAAGAGGTCGACCTAGGCGCAGTTACATAGACCAAATAAAGGAAAAGGCCGGTGTCGTGTCGTATAAGGAGGTCAAGGAGCTGGCTTGTAGGAAAGATGACTGGAAGAGGCTGCATTGACAAGAGTATAACTCTTAAGTTTAATGATGATGAAATTGATAAAATAAAACGACAATTAACTCAAATTCATGTTATATTTTTTGAAATTACAGTACTACTACTGTACAAAACGATAATTCACGATTAAAATGACATTGTTTAAAAACTATGTTAAAAATTAGGCAGTCTCTCCATGCTTAATTATATTATACATTATAAGTTAACCTAGTATGTACAATAATGTTTGGTTCCATTATTTATAAACATAAAATGCTATACCGTAACATAATTTTTGTTTTGTACATTATGTACCTGGAATTCTCATATGGGTCGATTAGAGCAAGACACTTGTCTTATTTTATTTCAGTACTTTTCCCTATCGCCTGGATCTGCTTCGCTCATCAATATAAAATGTTTTACTTAAAGCAAGGACGGGTATCATCAATTTGGACTTTAGAGTCGATACAACCTCAAATGGCTTGGGTTTATTCTGCGTAATTGTGAAAGTGTTGAAACACTTTGGAAAAAATACATAGTAAAATTGAGAATATACACTGATTAGTATACGGGGTGAAAACACGATTAATAAAAATTTTCACAATAGAAAAAACAAACTTACCTCGAAATTTTACAAGAAAACCGCTATATTTAATAGTTACTTTAACTATACCAATGACTTTTTTGTATCAACTAAACTAAATAGAACACGTATAATATACGACATACATTTTTCAAATGGTTTTAATTTCGTTCGTAAAAAAATAAATTCTGAAATAAAGCCAGCGTCACTACCGCTCGACCAACAAAATGAACCATACGAACGAACCGAAAAATTTCAATTCGGACTGAGGTAGTATCGACTCTTAATAACGATTGCGTATCATTTGCCGTCCTAATCACGAAAATGTTACATTTTAGCGTATCAGATTTCTGTCCAACTTATCATAATTAACGTAATAGACATTTTTTGCGAAATTGAATTATTAACATATGGGATAAGATCATCTTCAACCCCCTTTAATCGGTATTTTCATATCTTATTTAGTCTCAGTTTTATTGCTAAGCAAAATCAGCGTAATTCATATTTTTTTAGGTAACAATAAAACTTTAGGTGCCAACATCTTTGGAGGGCTTGGTATAATTAAGCATATTTTGTCCCAAGAGCTTATACTGCTACTCCATCACACCCTTTTTAAAAATGGTCATTGAAGAAACAGAACATTCATTCATCGTCGTCATCATCTCCTAAAGGATTCTGGAAAGCTTTAGCTGGTGGTTGCAACAACTTCGATCTGGTTGCGAATCGAAGGGTACCAGCTCCGAATTTATTATGCTTCTTGGGCGGTGTTGGCTGTGGCGGGGCAGCTGCGCCCGGCATACCTAGACCTACCGTTCCTTCATTGCCTACTAGAGGTATCTGCAACAATGGTAAATATACATTAATACAAGAAAATTAAGTTTAAAGTTAAAACGTGCAAAGGAGCGAGAATATTTAACAATAGCGTTGGGTTGAACCCCGAATATACTCTTGTAATTATCTGTAGGTCAATGTGTGGTAATAAATATGGTGAAACTACAGCATCGCGTATATAACCAGAAATATCCATCCCTGGCAACTCATCATGTAAATGGGCCTTATATCTCTTTTGAATATCAACTCTCGTTTGCGCTGAAATCACAAATTAGAAAACTGAAACAGTACACGGCCAACAACTGACCTGTGTGTGCGATGGAAATTCATAATTTGGTTCGGCCCTCCCCTTTCCATCTTTGGGAGATTAGACGTGGGCTGGGTTTCCACCCCTATGTTGTGGATATTGCAAAGATTCGCACGAAGCGTTATGATTCCACATTTATACAGCTAACGGCTATGGAGCGAATTTTCCTGCATGCACTTGTTACCTGAACGTTATACTTGGACCATTTCAAGGCAGGAGTGAATAGGCATTATTTAGGTGTGCATGCTACATCATCGACCTCATCGTCTTTTATTTAAAAAGAAAAGTACTAGACCGAGTAGAAATTTGTAATGCCACCTGGAGGGAAAGTACTCTAAATACTGGAGATAGAAATTTTTACTTAAAGGAAACATTCCTTTATTTTTAAAACTGAATTCATAGATTTTCGAAAATTTCTAGCAACACGCGGAAATCGAATCCGCTTTAATCTGAGAAAAATGCACCCTGCACTTTTATTAATATTAAAATTGGTTAATTAAATGGAAAAAAAACCATGAAATCCTAACGTATTTTAATAAAATGAAAAAAATGGTAATCTAACTAATTAGTTGCTCGAAATGAGTACAATCCCCAGGATGAAATTTCGACGTCACGATAACATTTATACTTATACTTTTTAAGCACTTGGAATATGCAAGTGTGGTTCGTTCCAATTTCTTCTGCAGCATCTCTGCTTGAAGCCTTTGGCAATGCTTCGAAGTATATTAAAACATTAAGATCGAATTCGGAATAGTTCTGTTGAGGAGTTTGCCGTCGCTTTTCGTAGCTACCAGTATTTTTTTAAATTATTTACCATTCTTTTCAGAACGAATCGAGTTGGTGTTTGTCGATCCCGATATCTCTCTTCATACCACCGCAGAGCTAAATTCATATTTTTGTTATTTAAAAAATAAGCTACCATTAAATCAAATTGTTCTTGATATGCAATTTTTACGATGAGACAAATATGAAATTTATTTATTTATAGGAAAATTATCAGTACTAGGAAGGATATGTAAAAACAATCAAATGGAAATAACAAAAGACAATCCATTTTCAAATGAAACTTTCCATATTTAAATTATCTCATGGCACTGACCAAAGAGTCTGCATTACAAACACGTGCAAATTGCAATCTTCTTATCTAAATAGTACTTAGTCATTTTAATGGATAAATGACGTCAACGCTAATTAACAAGTAATCTGATGGACCTTTGAGTAAAAATGCTTTAACTTGACCCATTGAATTTATAGCTTCAGATTTCATGGTTTGTAAGAGAGATTTCATCCTCATAATTGACCCTATCGATTGATTTAATAAAAGTACAGGGTGCATTTTTTTAAAGATTTTAGTGGGTTCGATTCCCGCGTGTAGCTAGCAATTTTCGAAAATCTTTGAATGCAGTATTATTTCTTTTTAAAAATAAAGGAATGTTTCCTCTAAGTAAAAATTTCTAACTCCAGTATTTAACGTACTAATGTATCCTTCCAAGTGGCATTACAAATTTCCACCCTGTATACTTTGTAGATTGTACTATTTGCTTTGCATCTTTGTTTTAATTTTAATTGGTATTGTATATTTAAAATTATTTGTATGTAAACTGTTTTTGTGTGTATCTATATCTATGTCAACATGGGACTTGTCAACTTATGTCTCGGGGTGTCCTAAAGCTCTATATGCAACTGTTATGGACAAGCGTGGCTAATAATTCAAATGCAATTTCAACAGATATTTTAGAAATTTTCAAAAAACATCATACATATTTGTCATATCATTAATTTACCGGTTTCAAAAAAGAATAACACTGTCATGTTAATTCATTGCCTATTATTAAAATTCATACTTGAATACAAGAATGAATACCCAAAGTACACATTTATTCATTATATTGAAAACTTTTTATCGATATATCTTATCTGTAGACTGCATTTGATACCTTTGCACATATCGTAAAAAAAATTAATAAATTTTTGAAGAAAAAAAGGTTATACAGCTCATTTCTCACAAATAAACATCGACTTGGGTGTTATTTTTCCTTTAATTTAATGTATTTATTTAAACAAAGGCTATTAATTTAAAAGCGAGGCTTATAAAAATACTTTACGAAATAGGTAAATTAGTGCACGTCGTTATGAGAATATGTTGTGTAGATTTTTATGAACTGTCACAGGGATCTTCCTAGATTATTTTTAGTATAATAAACATTTTTAACAGTTATTATACAACATTTATAACTATATTAAACACCGTACACGTGCCTAAAAGCGCTTTTGCCGTAAGATCATATTATGTGCCTTTATTATAGACTAAGGATAAGAGTTGTTCAAATTCATAAAAAAGAATTTTCCAAGTTTATTTTTGCAAAACGTAGATATATTTTTACTTCACGGCTAGGAATAAACACGTCATCCCTACAAATGCTTTCTTGATTTTTACACTCCATTTTGTATGAAAGGGACCGTAAACTCTACGCACTGGTGCACTAGTGCATGCCCGACGCATGTACTTGTTTTATAGGATGGGAGCTCGAGACAAAAATAGTTGTTATTTGACATTGGTACGAGTATTCAGTAATTTACAAGTATTTTTTACGCACCTGTTATTATACTTCACTGCGTCAGTGTCTTTTGTAACAATGTTAAATAAAATATTTATGGGATAAAAAGAAATATCATATAGAATAACACCTTTATTTTCCAATATTGATAGTTTTTGTGAATAAATCTAGTTTTTAGGGGTATGTTCGTATCAGTAACTAAATTTTTCGTACTTCCCTTACGTTATGTATCTAATATATGACATTCAGAAGTTTATAGTTTATATCAACCGCGAGGCGAGACGAGGATTGAAATTTGTTTGACAAAATTTCAATTCTTTCGTACCGCATCTTCGGTGGAAATTATCTGGATTGACGAGGATGTGCGACACGAGATTTGAAATATTATTGAATCATATTGCTGCCTCCATGTAGTGTTCATTACCTCTGCAACGGAAACATGGTTCATGCCAAGTGATACCTCGCGCGTACTCGCGCTGGCTCTCGCGAGCTATTAGTATAAATCGCGAGATTGTAGGAAAGTATGTGATTATTTCTTCTTACAGTATCTTCATGTGATTCTTCTTCCGTTAACATATTTAATGATAGTAATTTAGGGGATATGTTACTTTAGCCGCGCGCTTGTCGTTAGACAAACGACAGCACTGTGTGTTGCGGTGCTCGCGATAGCTATTACTGGTAATTTTTGATGGAAATAGACTGCCCGCCGGCGAAATATCAATTTAGTGTCGTCGGTGGGAAAGCGCCTTTAATCGTGTTTCCTTAATTAATTGTGAAGAGTAAATAGATCATAACAAGATCAACTATAATTGCTTCTGACTTAAGTGAACACTGCTGATATCTGTTTCTCCCGAACGCTTATTAAATAAGGTGTAAGGGTGTTCCAGAGCAGAGCGAAAATGTATTTTACTAGACAAACATCGTCGTTTAAAAATTAAATGACAAAAAAAACTGTAACGTAATCTTTAGTTAACACACAATCTCCAGGCCTACGACCGTCAGACAGACGTATAGACAATCAGCGTACAATGTGTGATTAAACCGGTCTAGGGTGAACATCCTAGACGACGGCGGAAGCGCGGATTTCCTGTGCCAGACGCGTGTCAAACTATGAAGTTTAATAGGCTACTAACTATGAAGTTTGTTACTTTGTATTGTTTTGTTCATTAAGGATTGAACCGTGAGATAAAAAATAATGATGAAGTCAATTAACAAGTAACACAAGACAATATGTTAGTTAGGTCTTCAAATTGCATTCTACTAGCCTCCGTGGTAAAGTGTAGTATACTTGCATGAAAGACGCATGCAGCAAATGTATCAGCGTAAAATTCTCAGTTATCAAATTTCTTACAGAAAATTAGTTGCGAGTATTAGTATTAGCATTAATTAATTCAAAGTTGAACTGAGCATTAAAACCCACAATGGTCTCCATTCAGCATTTGCTAAACTGTGAATGCAAAACAATAGAATGCAGAACTTAAGAAATTATTATAATATGACATTCTACAACAGTGGAGATTTCTCATAAAATTGACATTTCATGTGTTCTTTTTTTTTAATTACACAAACTATTATTGTATTACTTAATTATTGTTTTATTAGTATTAGGTGGCGATTAATTGGAGTGCATGATTTTATAGTTATAGAACTGCCTCAATGGCCGAACGGTTACCACACTGGTCTGCCACGCAGAGGTCTCGGGTTCGATTTCCGAGTCGGGATAAGTATTTGTAAAGAGTACATTTATTTAAATAATTTGGGTGTAATTTGTGGTTGTCTGTGCGACACACGCATCCGGGACACAGGGTTTCCGTAGTACGGGGATATAAGTGTGCGAGTTATTATTATATTAATAATAGTAGAGCTCCTTGTGAAAGAGTTCGTCCAGGGAAGTACTGCCACCTTACGTACCTCGGCCAACAAGCAGTAATGTCAGCATTACTGTGTTCCGATTTTGAAGGGTAAGAGTGCTAATGAAATTACATGCACATGGGACTTGTCAGCTTATGTGTTGGGATGACGGGCGCAATGGCAATGCCCCTAAGATTTTTGTGATTTAAAGCTCTGAGTGGCACTGTAACTATTACGGATAGGCGTGTAGCTTACCGTCAGGCGCACGACTAGTTCGTCCCGTCACTTGA